GGCACAACTATAATAGTAGCGCCCCTTACCAATATAAGTAACAGGGTGTCCACCAACCGGGAAATCTGGGAATTATACGTTAGTTTTTTTTAACCGGAAATTTTGCGTGAATTTTATATTTCTACCAGGAATGTTAAATTTACCGAGATCGCGCATGACAACAGTGACGTTTCCGTGACCACGGGAGAATATGTCTACACACGGCCGTGAGGGATGATAAGAATATTGCCGGAAAAGAACAGAATTTTGCCTCATTCGCGGTAGACGATGATAATCTCCTCAAGACCGTGGGATGTGTTCTTATTGCCCAGTCATGGAAGACAATAATTATGTCTACATGACCGCAGAAAATAGTGCAAATTTTGCCACAAATGCGGGACGCGATTATGATATCTATACGACCGCGAGGGATTATCAGAAGTTTACCACGATCATACAACCACCATTTTTTTTATTTTCCAATTTTTTGGCGATCCTAAAAAAAACCAATTGCCTCGTACCCTAGGCACGTGCCTACCGTGCCTATTCGGTAAATTGGCCCTGTCAACATGACGACCAAAATATATTTTTTTTTTTTTATTTTTTTATGTTTTTTAAGAGGTTGGCGGCCTCTTTTAACTTTGCATTTGCCCGTCCACATAGACTAAGCGCTCGTGCTCGGATCGTTTACAGCAAAGCAAGGAGTGAGCCGGTACAGTACAAAGGTGAAATTTTAGTGGCAGTGACCACGATCCGAACCCACGACATCGCTGCCTTTGGTCCAAACTTCCGCGACGCTACCGACTGAACCACCGAACATATTATGCTAGTCTACTATAGTACTCTTCAAAAGTGGAGGGGAAGCCTATTACAACACCTCAGATGTCAAAACTTAAGTGTGATAAAACTTACATAGGCCTACGTTAGCTTTTGGATAAAGCCACTAGTTATTAATTAATTAACTACTGTACATTTAATCCAACAAAAAAAAAACTAAAATGTTGGACTGTTCATCTGGGAATCAAGCTAGGATAGGCACAGGAGTTGCACACAGACAGGCTGTATCTTGATATTCAAACCTAAATCACTTGGCTATTAACACCTAAATATTTACAGTACTGTAATCTCTACACACACTTGTCAGCCCAAGCGTAGTACTGCAGTTCTAAACTTGACTCCCAGGTAAGTCAAACACAGCTTTAACCTGTTTTGTTGGGGTATTCTTGCATAGATAATTAGGTGTTAGTGGAAGTTTGCTAGTATTACTCTTGTGTTTGATATATGCTCTTCAGTACCTACTTAAATGTATTGCAGATACAAGTTGTGTGGACGAGACAAAGGAATTGGCTAACTCTGAAACTCGCTAACTCGTCGGTCGTGTGTCGGAACTGGCTAACCGTCCCAGTCAGGAATTGGCTAACTCCGGAACCTGCTAACTCGATTTTGTCCCGCGGTGGAATTCGCTAACCCGGCTGCGCCCACTGCACGGAGCGTTGCCAACCTTGTACGACAAAATAATCGTACACTGCCGTATTTAAAATTGTCAGTAATAAAGATACAGTATTGTTATTGTTTTTTTTTTGTTATCAATTCCACTTTTAACAGCTACCTAGCACAAAGTAATTAAAAAGCAATTAAAAGATAATTAAAAAGTTTTTTTATATTATTTAACTGTACAACGGACAATTAAATGTTTATATTTTCAATCTTAAATATAAATGCCAGTATTATAAGAAAATAACAGAATATGAAAAATATTGAAAATCCAGTAGTACCAACTAAACCACTATGAAATTAAGCTAAAAATACACGTGAGTTCTCAAACACGGATAACAAATTAAATCGTGTTGTCGTAATAAACCATTATTAATAGAGGCATTAACCATCGTGACTTTCATAACTAATTTATAGCCTTAAAATTAAAGGTTCATCGTTGAATCGTCCAACTTACGTGTAAAAATATGACATTCGTTTGGTAACAGTTTATAAAATAGCTGTAAATCTAGGCCTATAGTTCATACAAAACCAAAGCATTGTAAACCTAGGCCTACTAGTAAAAGCTAGTACCCTAATCCTAAAATTTGTTGAATTCATTAGTTATAATGTTAAGGCCCGTTCACACGGGGCGAGTTTACAAGCTACACGCCAGCGTGTAAGAAGCCGGCGAGTTGGCGAGTGTGCTTGTAGTCGTTCACACGATGCTTTTTCCACTCGCTCAGTAGCTGGCTTGAACCAAATCCTCCAACACCTTTGAGTAACAAGCGCACAAGCACAAGCAACTGTGTTCACACTGGGCTACTTTACACGCCTACTCGCTCAAAAGCTGGCGAGTTGGCGTGTAAAGTAGCGGCAGCGTCAACTTTTTCCAGAGTTTTTTTACAAGCAGCTTTTGAGCGAGTACGTCGTTCACACTGAGCTATTTTACTAGCTGCGTGTAAAAAAACCGGCGTGTAGCTTGTAAACTCGCCCCGTGTGAACGGGGCTTTACATATTTCAATACCGGTTTTTAAGATTGTAAACCTAAGCCCCATTAATAAATAATAGGAGTAGATATAATATTCTTATATTAAAACGTGACAGAGGGTTATTTTATTTCTGAACCGGCGACTTGACGGATTTTCGTGATTTTAGTGTTGAAAGAAATATAAATTTAAAAGGAAGGGAATGTTGAAGTCAACGTTTATTTTAGGGTTTCAGGTAGATGTCAAGTTTTAATTTTTTCAAATATCTAGCAGCTGGCGTTGTCATTTTTTAAAGTATGGTTCAATGTAAATTGGTTTAATTAAGCGAGTTAGTGGGTTTCAAAATGTTAAAAAATGTTAACTTAGGACAAAAATAGGCCTATTGATCGTCGGTATTACATATTTTTCAGCAATGTATTTTTTTTATTGTAAAGTGTTTTGCGTTATCAGTAAATGTGAAATATTGAGCTATATATCCTAAATACTTACGTATAATCAAGTTTTGTCATAATAATAATCTGTGTCGATAATATAATAAAAGTTCTGTGGACAAGCTGTGTAATACCAATACAATCCTAGGTACAGTACTACTAGTACTGTTAGGTACTGTACCAACGATCGTATCGGTACCATAATGTCGTATCCTACTAATAATTAGGACTAAGAGCAATGTAGTCGATAAAATAAATGTATGTTCAGAACTATGTTTATTATTGTTATTATTATTATTATCATTATATTATTAGGGTGGAAAATGCATTATAGTCTTACCATAGACTAAACAACACAAGTAGACTTCACATACCATTGTAAATTTTGAAGCTTGTTTTTCGTGTCTAGTTCATGTCCTGTGACACTGATCGCTAGTGTTGACGAAATGTTGTTTCTATTAGTTTATAGTTAAAATAATGATTTGTTCTCAACTGTTTATATAACCAGGAGACGAGTTATTGTTCATAATTAAACGTTTTATTTGGTTACCGGTAAATGAGGTTTTAAATGACTGATAACAAGAAATAAATTGTAAACAAAACACGACCTCTACAGACAGTGCACCGGACAGAACTAATAATAAAATAGTCCTTAGCTGATCCAAGGATGTGAAATCTACTAAGGGGATATGTACTACACTTTCGGTAACTCTGGCCAACAATCTGCGTTCTTGGCATTGGACGGAGTGCGAGGCTTCTGATTGGGAGTTAGCAAGTTCCGCCGAGACACTGTAGCGACTTCTGTACTAGGACAGAATTGGCTAACTCCGGAACCTGCTAGCCCGCTCTAGAGCCGGGTTAGCGGGTTCCGGAATTTAGCCAATTCCAAAACCGAACAAGTTAGCAAGTTCCTCTCATCAACCAAATTTGATGATAGGGCGTTTAACATGGGGTTAGCGAGTTCCAGAGTTAGCCAATACCGCGGACCAGTGTGGACCTATCTAAACTTAACCTGCATCCTACAACTTGATAATTTTTTAACAAATTCAACCTTCAACCTTGAGAGAGATGAAGCAGTGGTGTAGTGATGGAGAGAGTGGTGCAGTTGCTTCAGGACAAAAGGCCCTGGGGGGAGGGGCAGAACTACTGGGAAGGAACAATTTTGTCATTGTTCCAAATATTGGACATAAAACTAAATTTGGCCTTTCTTATGAACTAATTACTTGTTTTTATGTTGTAATTATGAACTTAGAAACTAATTATGTTTCTATCGTGCAAACTAAATGGCATTACAGTATAACAAATTGGTAAATTACTTTATTAAAGTATAATGATTGTAACTGAATCTCAACCTTAAGTTAGAAGTTGCCAGTAGAAAATCAGTACAAGCTTCAGTAATCATAAATTTGGTGTAGTGACCTTTTTTTGTAATTCTATTATGACTATAATTTGTGATCGTGGCAGAATCGTGATCATCTCCCAGTGGTGCAAAAAATCTTTTAACATCTTCCACAATTCTAAGTCATCATTATTGTCTCCTGCGATCCAGAAAGAAGATTGAACATCTCCCATGAGTGCCATAACATTGTCATTATACCCCTCTATCGTGGGGAAATTTCAATAATCTCTCGCAATTTAACATTACTGTCGTTCCCCGCGATCGTGGCATAATCTTGCACATCACTTAACCCTGCGATAGCGGCAATATTATTGCTAACAACTAATAAACAAAAACCGACGTTTCCATCCAATTCTCAGTTTTATTTTTGAGGCTAGAAATTGTGAATCAACAACAGATTTTAAAAACGGACCCATCCCTTTAAGGAGGTATTTATGTACGAAGCAGGGTGGGGTGATATTCAATGTTTTGAGGGGGGGCGGATTAAGCCATTTCTGATCCAGGAATATCCAACCTTGCTCCGCCACTGAGATGAGTTGGTATCTGTCCAAATCCTTCCACGGGTTTTTAAAAACCACAAAATAAACTTGTCACTGCCTACTAAATTCATCTTATCAAAATATAAAATCACTCTCCACTAAATGAAGGAAGTATGATGTTATATTGAGAATGGGTGCATTTGGAGAACTGTAATGGGTATAATGAGAAAATAAAGTTAATATAGTCATCTCATTGTATAATATGGTACTTTATTTTATCCTCATGGCAATCAATTTGGTGGTGAGTTACATTTTAAGTCAACACTGATAGATATTTTATAGTTACACAACAAATCAAGTAATGTTATGTTTTTACATCAAACAATTAAGTTGTATATACATGCCTGCATTTCTAGCTTTCATTCATTCACACAAATATTACAACAATGCTACTAATTTAAAATATAACCCTAAAATATACGCAGAGAAATATTAAAGGATAAGCAGTAGACATTAGCAACATGAAACATAGAATCTAGAATTAGACAATAGACGACGCTTTCCTGTCCACGTCCGGCTTAACCTTTTGCCTGAGAACATCTTTTCCCTACTTACTCGGTGTACAACTGGAGTCTCTACATTACAGTCTTACCAAAAACAAAACAGAAAACATAAAAAGGATTTGGATTCATAATGGTATGTTTGCTGTTCATTTTAGCCTCTGGAGAGCCTTTTGTTTATACTGTATAACGATAGGTTTCTTACCACTGCAAGACTAATTTTTATGGGATCTGAAATTTATCTCTTTTAGGATCACTCATAAAAATAAGTTTGCTATGGTAAATATCTATAACATGTACATATATTATAATGAATGACATTAAAATAATAATATATAAGACATTTTAAATTGTTAAATAGCTAAATCATGCATAAGAATTGAAATAATGATTGGTAACTGATTTTGTGTTCAATAATAAACAACTGACAATAGAAACATAATTGACAGTGAAATAATGATTGAAAAATAAATAGCTGACTTTGTTGTCAGTGTTAAAAACTATATTTATGAAAAATGCTTAAAAAAATAAATCTAATGAAAATATAAACGGAGTAGTGTTTTTAGTAAGCATGGTTCTTGATGAAGAGACTGGAGTCGCCAGCCTTTCCAGCGATGGAACCGGCTTCATACTTGCCCAGAGACGCTTCTCCATTAGCCTGAAACAGTCACATTTAAATTGTGAAACTCAATATAACAACTACAGAGGTGTGGTAAACAATTTTGTTAAATCTAAAAAGAAGTTTGTTGTCAATCAAAATTGGGTTTGAAAAACAACTTTGAAATCAATAAAATGGCGGTGGAGTGAATAAAACAATTAGTTTAGTCTTAGTATTTTTAACAGTATCTGGCCTGGTAGTTACTTGGTTTGTCAAGGGTTCCTTGCTGTAGCTAGGGAAGTGGTGTGAATAAAGAGCTACAACTAGGTTTCAAAATAGGAAAAGTAAGACAAATGCTGATCTTCATGCATGCTATCTCCTCGGCAGACGACTAACTTGGCTAGTTGATGATTGGGCTGTTAAGAGTCTCTTAAAGACACAGCTTCAGACAGTGACAACGTATGAGGCAAAGGTGTTTGCTTATGTTAAATTTTATAAATTTGTTTTTCATTTGATTTGAATTTGAATGAATATTTAGTTTGTTATTTAAATATCAAAAACAATTTTATGTTGTAATGGATAAAAACACATAATTGGCCAACTTGGTGTTTTGTGTAGTATTGAAACCCAATTTTGTTTCAAGGACTGTTGATTTGGTCCATGTGCCTTCCAAAAATACAAATACATAGTAAACCCACAGAAACCTCTCAATGTTGTTTTGTACAATCACTATAGCAACAATGTCCACTGACGGGACATGAAGGAGTTTTATTGATCACTGCATTTACCACCACATTGATTTTAGTACACATCAATTCAATTGAGATTGAATTCATGTGAATTCAATTGAATGTTGAATTGAATTCAATTGAATGTTGAATTGAATTCAATTGGTGTACTTTTATTTGTTATTTTAGTACACATTGATAAAAAAAACTTTGATTAACAATTTGAAACATTTGTAAGAGCGAAGGTTTTAATGTAAAAGTGATGATTTTTTGGCTGCCAAATTTACAATGAGATTGATACTGCAATCTCCCCACAAAAATAAGTGAATATTTTAGTGTACAGTCTAACCTTGATGTAACGAATTCCTTGATATAACAAATTTTTTTTAATCCCCTAGAACTCTCCATAAGACACAATGTATATTTTACCTCTACATAACGAACAAACCATAACAACGACCTTGATTTAACAAATTTTTCGTGATTTCGGCTAAAACAAGACACCTCAATATAACGAATTTATCATTGTCAGAACCTCTACATTGCGAATTTAACCTCTGCATAACGAATTGTCTACGTCTTTCCCTCGATATAACAAATCCCTCACCCAATTATTGTTTTGGGAAAATCTGTTTCTTTATCAAATGAAATGGAAGCGATGTCACGTCATCGCTTGCGCTAACATTCGTCTGCTCCGTTTTACATCTTTGTCTGCTGTCGCTGCGCGTGCTATGTTGCAACTGAGAACTGATTTCATTCTCTGAGGACTGATGACGACTAAATGTTTAGTAAGCTGTGATTGGGCGATATGGGATAACTATGGTGAATCGTACAATTTTTGGATAAAAAGAAACCTAAGAAAGAATATAAAAACAAAACCAAAGAGAAAGAATAGCAACATCGTTATTTTACCATTCCTTTTACGACTGTTTTTATTATCCTTAAGCAAACGAATAAGCAACTATGAGTATACACTTTTATAATGACTTATCTAATAATTTATTGTTTTCAATACGATTTCTTTCAACTAGCAACATCAATGCTATAGTTAATGATTATTATTGACATTCCTCTGTTGTGATAAATCAGTACTGTACTGTACTGTTAGTACCCTACCGGCCTATCGCCATTAGTAGCTTACAAAACTTTCTACTGTTTTGTTTTGTTCTTTACATGGTTTATGACTACGCAATACAGTGTTTGGCTAGGTTTTAGGAGAGTTAGAACAAGCTGTGATTTTAAACTTACAGCTTTTAACCTGTACCAAGGTCAGTGCCATTGTCATGATTGCGCAATATTCAAGATCCCTCCCCTTTATTATGCCGGATAATTTAGGTTCTACTGTACAATGTAAACACTGTACTGTAAAGTATTGTAGCCTATGCTACTTTAATTGTACTATATTTTAATGAGGTCAAATCCCGACCTATATTGACTGACGCTGGTTCTGAACCTCGACTTAGCGAAATTCCTGCAAACCTAACCTCTATATAACGAACCTCGTTTTAACGAAATCCTTGATATAACGAATATTCAGTTCGGTCCCTTCAGATTCGTTATACCGAGGTTGGACTGTATTATTGCAGATTCTAGATTGAAAAGTGGCATGACTGAAAATTTTGGCATTTACTACCTGAGTAAATTCTAAAATTAAATTTTACTTTATTATTCTTTACCCTTTTTCATACTTACAGATTATTCAACTGCACAAGTAACAACAGTAACAGTAACAACTTTTACATTTGCTCAATAACTTTCAGAAAGCTTGGAGGTATTTTAATTCTAAGAAGTGGTGTTTTTTAAATTTAATTTTGAACTAGCTTGCTTGTCTGTGTGTCGCTTGCTGTGCTGAGTTTGGTGGAGTCCTTACTATCAAAGCTAATATTAATGGCAAAGTCTTGTTACAACTGTACTTTCCTGAAGTTAAGCTTATCATCATATAGGCACTTAAAATTATCTCACTATACATCTCAAACTAAACAAACTGAAATAAGATCAAATAGGTAATCTAACCTTTGCACGCTTCAGAAGTTCAGCCTGTGCAGCTTTCACATTTTCAGGTTTTCCTCCCCACGCCTTCAGCACTGAAGCCTGCAAAGACAAGGTAGGATTATACAGAAATATTTCTTACATTATAAAAAATGTGCAACATGACATTTAGGCACTCCAAAATCATGTTTATGAGCATAACTAAATTTAATTAATTTACTCTCAGTGAATATAGTATTCAATCTTGATTAAAAACCTCTAAATTAAATTACGGTAACCATAGTTCCCATGGGGTGAAATGTTTCCAAACAATGTTGCCCTCACTGTTTGTTTATCATTGCCTTGCACGACTGTGGAAAATCCTGACTATCTCCTGCAGTAAAGAACATATAATCATCATGCCACGATCACAGCCGAATCATGATCATCCAACCCCTCTTGGTCTCGGTAACATGATCGTAGTCTTCAGTGATCGCGGAAATGTCATTGTTGTCCATCGTAAAAGCTTGAAATCGCTTAATGCTCGCACACCTCTATCTACGAGATGTGTTGTACATCTAACATAACTTGTTTGAATTTTTGTACTACTTTTGGCGAGGCAAAAGTACCCCACGCAGGTGTTATAGGGTCAAGTATTATGAGTAAATATTTAAATATTTGGCATTCATTGTACAGCTGTGTAATTGTATGCTCGGCCACACTAAAGCTAACACTATAACTTCATACTACGAACCCAAATGTTAGTGCTCACAAACTTGTGAGAGCTAACAGAACTTATTACAGTAAACCCGCATTAATCCAGACAATCCTAGTTGTCCAGTTTGGTGAAAGTAAGAATATAAAAAAAAATATTTATTCAATTAATAATTTTTCATTGATTATCAATTACAACAGCATTTATGCCTAAAGCTCCGCCGTTGCACTTATGATCACAGTGACAATCAAATTCTACACAACACAACTTTTTTAGAGTGGCACAATCATAACTTAGCTCTATGAGTTTAAAGACATATTTGCTATAGAGTGGCTGTCTGGATAAAGCAAGGTTCTTTTCAAAGATGTCATGAATAATAAGGGATTCACTGTGGTTTGTTTAGTTAAATATCATAGATGACCAAGTCGTAAGTTTATTTTTTTTTGCAAGAACCTGTGACCTGTGGTTTTTACCTGAAGGGCACGTCCGTAACTGAAGGTGAGTTTCCAGGGCTTGGGAATACCCTGCAGTTTGTTGATGGCATCCAAGTTGACTGAGGCATCTTCCTCGGATTGACCACCGGACAAGAATGTCACTCCTGAAAAAATCAAATTGGTGTTAGAAGGAAAGAACAAATTGAGACACGTCAAGTCGGCCAACATCCAAGTAAAATGAAGTGAATGGGTTTAGTTACCACAAAAGATAGTTTCGAGTATTACAGTAGAACAGCAGTTATCTGAACCCTGACTAATCGAGTTGTGGTTTAACTGAGTCACTGGCTGCTTGTAATAAAGATAAATTGGATGTTTTGCAATCTGGTTTCAAATCGCAATTTTTAAAATTTCAATACTAAACTATATTTAAAAAAAGGCTTTGGTTCCTTTTAAACACAACTCAGCGAGATAATGTGCAATTTCAAAGACTGTTTGAGATGGTCTTACACATACAGGAACAAGACATTGCCATTGGTCAGAGGGTGAATAATCTGCTGTCTATTGAATCTGAATGTAGCTGGTTCAATCTTGAACAAGATTGATTCTGGATCCAGATGCCATTTGTCAATGGGCATGGATTTGCTATAGCATAAACTCTTCATAAACTCATTATGAATTAATTTTGATATCCAAAAGGTAAATGTAAGATAAATGGATTTGGGTCATAAAAAAAAAAAAAATGAAAAATGAAAAAATTGCATGGAAAACACAAAAATGTAACAAATTACCCGGGACAGCAGCAGGCATAGTTCTAGAGAGAGCTTGAACAGTAGCACGAGCGTTCTCTTCATAGGTGGACTTCTTAGCAGCTGACATGCCTGAAGTGACCATGTTGGGCTTGAGGAGGGTGCCTTCCAAGTAGACGTGGTGGTCGTTGAGTGCCTTGTAAACAGCTGCAAGAACTGTCTCTGTCACTTTCTGTGCTCTGTCTATATCGTGGTCTCCGTCAACCAACACCTGTGAACCGAGAAATTATGTCACACAACAGAGGTCAAACCTCAACTCATAAAGGAAAGAGACTGAGGAAGTGAAACTGTAGAAATAATTGTGTTGATATAAATAGTAGTTATTTATTTGCTTTCATGCAGTTTTGAACATTAAGAGATTCATACCATCGAACCCTCAAATTTTAGCAATAAGAAGTCATTTGTGTCTACAAAATCATAGACAAAAGAGTTAAATACAGACAGCAGTGCTGCGGTTAGCATAAATTCTGGCGTCCACCGCTAGGAGTGCCGTGAAGTTTTGGCTGCTGTAGTAGTGTCAAGCGCTAGCGAGCGTTGTCAAGACAAGTTGGTAGTTGGAGCCAGGGTCGTCAACTTCTGGAGAATTCCCGGAACCCAGGGATTTGAAGTTCTGATATTTTTCCGTGTTTAAAAAAATTACGGAGTTTAAAAAAGGGCTTTTCTGTTAAAATTACAGGATTTCAGACGTTTGTACTTTACCCATACTGAAAAGTGGGTCTGATGGTAGCATTTTGTTTGCAAGGGTGGTAGTCCTGGTAGCAGACGGTAAGTCAACGATGGCAGTGAATTGACAAACACTGCTCTAGCGGCACATCGCGGAACCTTCCTTTGTCTGTCTATATTTAATTCTTATGTCTATGATAAAATCAAACAGTTTGGACTAGTAGCTCCCCAGTAATCAACATAACAAAGTGCGAACTGCAAACTAACTGGGTGATCAAAGAAGATAAACCATCTATACTTTACATAAAAACCATAAAGTTCTTCTTCAGGTATAGGATTTTATATATATATATCAGTAGCCCTTTTAAAAAAGAAAACGTTTTTATACATTTTACACCACCAAAATTTAGGAGGTAAAAGACAATTTTAATTACAAACCTCAGGCTCAACAATTGGAACTATGCGTTGGGATTGGCAGATGGAAGCGTAACGTGCCAGAACATTGGCGTTTTCCAAAATAGCTTGGTAAGAAGGAGTGTTCTTGCCAATCTTCAGGACACAACGCCACTTGGCGAATTGGCATCCGTCCTTCTTGTACTGGGCACACCTTTGGGCCAAGTCATCAAGTCCTGCAAAATCATGTAAGGGAGATTAGAGTAACAGGTTAAATGCAATAAAAACTAATGGTTTGAATTGGTTAAACTTTTACACAATAAGTTGAGTCAAATTATGCATTTATTAATTAATAAGTTCAAGATTTAACTATCAATGGAAGTAATGATCATACAGTAGAACCCCTTTAATCCCAGCCCCCGTAATCCGATCGCCTCATTGCTGTACTTTATACACAGTACAGTAGTTCTTTATTCACTATGTTTACTACTGTATTAAATAAACACTGTATTTTACTTTTTAAAGGATTTTTCACCTTTCCCGTAACAATTACGATTCATTTTAGATAGGTTTTAGCGATAGTTATGTAAAAACAACAATATGTTCTGTAATTTGAACTGTTCAATAGCCCGAACTACTGCTGGTCCCAATTAGTTCGAATTAAAGAGGTTCTACTGTACATTACTTCATAATGTGCCAACTTTATTATGAAGCAAAACTAAAAGGACGACTTATAGTAAATTGTTTAATGTATCAAAACCATGGGAGAGAATAGAATTTTGACAGTAACCAACTATAAATTAAAATATGTTATATTTAAGTAAACATTTTCTCCAGCTGGTTTATATATTCGGCATGTCTACTTCTGGATCCAAAAGTGAATGCTATAAGTAAAAGTATCAAACCACTTTTTTCGATATTAAATAGAAGTTATTAATGTTTTTTGTACAAGGAGGCATTAGGAAATATTTTAAGTGAATATTTTTACTTCAAGCATTAGTTCCACGGTGTGCTGTGAATTTTATAAGAGAGGAATTTTTATTTTACCATTACACAATAAATCAATACTCTCAACTCAAATGCTTCATACACAGAATTATTTGTAACAAGTTAAGAAGAAGTTATGGCTTAGGCACCTTGGGTGGTGACTTCGTCCTCTGAGCCGAAGAGAGGAACAACTCCCTTGTCAACCTTGATGCCGAGGAGGATGCCTCGCTTGTTAAGCAAATCCACTAAGGGAGTTCCGTCATCAGCCTTCTGGTACAATGTCTCGTGGAACAGGATCACTCCGGAGATGTGTTCTGCTATCGCCGGGTCAGTGGAGAACAGGAGTTGTCGGTAAAGTCGTCTGCGTAAAACTCAAATTCAGTACTTTGTAAAATATGAGATCAGTTAGAATGGCAAATAGGGTTGGTAATGGAAAATAAAGGTTAATTTATAAGTACTACAAATTTAATTTTTGATTACTCATATTTGGAAAATACTATTTATGAAGCAGCTTTGAATTGTGAACGTAATGGACTCATTTTCTTTGGACCTAAACAGTCTGATATGGAACAGATCCAATTCCAAATAGTTCCAATAGTGAGTCGGTGGCTCAGTCGGTAGCGTTGCGGACTTCGGGCCCAAGGCAGCGATGTCGTGGGTTCGGATCCTGGTCACTGCCAATAACATTTTATCAGTACGGTTCACCTTTGTACTGTACCGGCTCACTCCTTGCTTTGCTGTAAACGATCCCCGCTCGGGCGCTTAGTCTATGTGGACGGGCAAATGCAAGGTTAAAAGAGGCCGCCAACATCTTAAAAAAAATGATCATTCGCAGAAAGGGTTGTTTCTCATTCTATTGACAACAATATGACACTAAATGAAATGTCCTCTACTTTAACAGTTTATTTAGCTGAGCATCTGCCTTCGCTTTGAAAGGATCAAAATTTTGAAAAGATGTAAATAAGTACTGCAATTACTTCCACACAAAGGAAGTAATGCTTTATAATGTAATGATTTGTAATGCCAGTAAGGAAGGCAATGCTTTATTGTTTTTTAAGCCAAGGATTGTGAGTAAAATAGAAAGTAGGTACACAAACAATCAGTCAACTCAGGGCCGTCCGAAGGGGGGGGGGGGCAACCTGCCCCGGGCGCTGTGGCTGAGGGGGCGCCGCGCATCGGCTATTATTGTATTAACATAGTATAAAAATATGCGAATGCAACTATTACTGGGGGGGGAGGGGGCGCCACGACCACGTTTGCTCTGGGCGCCGCCAACCCTAGGGATGGCCCTGAGTCAACTCAAGTTGAGACTTGAGACATCAAAGCAGCTAGGTACACAATGGATAGTGAGCAAATCCCCACACTATACTTGCTTCTTTATTTTTTTCCATTTTATTCTCAGCCAGAAGAAGAATTCGGTTTGACTGACCTATTCTCCTCAGTGTTCTCTACTCCAATGTCCTTGAGACGGCTACCGCAGGTACCCACGGACTCGTCAGCAGCCAGGATGCCCTTGCCTGGAGCCACGATGGCTTGGGCGATCTTCTTGAGCTCCTCCTGCAGCTCGGGTGGGGGGTAGTTGAAGTAGGTGGTCATATTGGCGCTGGTGCAATACGAGGGTCTGAAACAATATAGGCTAGTTATTGTAAAGAAAATACTATTTCATATAATAAGAGGATAAAGCAATAGGTAGGTAGATAAGTTTTGGGAAGGCGGTGGCTTAGTCTGTTACGCGGCGGACTACTAATCCATGGGGCAATATGTCTTCTGTTGGTGTCCTGAGTCTCATCAGGATAGTTCACTGTATCGGTTCACCCCTTGCTTTGGATACATTCCACACATAGACTCGAGTCCTATGTGCTCAGGGAAATGCAAAACCCATAACGTTAAGTCTCTGTCTACCCCTCTCACTATAACAGTATTAACTGTGCCATAAAAGGTTAGAGGAGTGACATAAAAGGACATACACATTGAGCCTGTTCCTTGATACCTGTGTGGTTGGTCAACACAGAACATTTTGGTTAGAACAGGCCTATTTAAATGATTCTTCTTGGTTTTTCCTCATATTTTTGTTTGTGCTGTACTGTAGTGTTTACCTTTTGCCTTTTAACAATAGAGTGAAAATTTTGAAACGTACGTTTTTATGTCCCTGGCCTTTTTACTTCGTAGATACTGAATATGTAGTTTATCATTATGTGTTTTGATATTTTTTGGGACGGGGGCAACATGTTACACACAATTATTTGGCTTTAAATAGGTTCTAGGTATTTTTTTCGTATTTTTAAAGTCTCGAAACTCACGACTGTCACGTGTCCCTAGGGTACATTTTGCAACTTTGATGCTGTTTTTAGAATAATTATTCATGCCAAAATGTCATATTTTTATCACATCAATAGTTATTAAACTTACGAAAAAGGAGCATATGATAATTTTCTTTTCATTGTAAACTGACTACCATGTCTAAATAGGTCTGGCCCTCGATTTGACGTCACGACAATTAGGGAAAGATTTGCAACTTTAGAGCACGACAGTGGCAAGCCTGGCGTCGATGGAGTCAGTTGGTTTTAAAGAGTAGTTTGGGTTGTACGTCAGGAATTTAGTGCCGGTCGTTTTGAGTTGAAAGGAGGAATTACAAGATTAATAAAGGCAAGTTTGTGTTTTTTGTAATTTTGGTGTGTCCATGACCGTACGTAGTAATTTGATAAAGAAGACATGGTGTTAATTTTGGTTTATAAGATATTTCAATAGATTAACCTAGAAGTAGTCCATTTTGAATCCTGGAACATGAGTGCAGGGCTACCGCCAGAACAGAGCCAAATAACACGTAATGTCACGACCATCGCGGGTTTTTTTCACGACCAATCCAGCCTAATGGATTATACTGTGTTTGGACGTGACAATAACTTCAATATCATTGTAAATTAACATTTTAGTTCAATTGAAACACTTATTTTTATTATAACTAACAGTATAATTGAAGGATTGTTTAGAAATATTAAGATTATTCCAGACAATTCATGACCGTACCGCTTGTCCCTGACCATCACGTTTATGATTTTTATCAAATAAATTTCAAAAATTAAAATATCATATCATATCATATATCATATTTTAATGTTTTATACACAAAAGAAGCACACCTCTATATAATCATAACGATTTTTCTGGTCTCAGGTATGTTTTTTTGGAGTTAGGTCTATACAAACTTAAAAAGATTTTAATGGCTTTTTTCAATTTTTTGATCTTTTTTTTAAATTTTTTTCTAGAAATACCAAATATACCAAAAGCTTAGTGAGCTGTTTATTGTGTAATGGCCCTAAAAGTAAATTAATTTATAGCAAAACATAGTTATAAAAATAATATTAACTATTTTTCATTTTCAGTTTTATGTCCGTGATGGTTGTGACAAAATTTTGTGTTTTTCCATCAAAGATGCTCTATTAATAAAAAATCACCAAAGATATTGCGTTACCATGGACATTTTATGAAACTTCAAATGTTAATGAAATAAAAAAATAACAATGAAAGTTAAAAAAAAATGGAACAAACATTTAAAGTGCTTATCCTGAAAACGTATGTTTCAAAATTTTCACTCTACAACTGATCAACCTAATTGGACAAAATTTAGTTTTACATTATGCCCAAAAGCTCAGGGGCTACAAACATGAATTTTAAAATTTAGAAGAGTGTTTTGAGTGTCTCAACATTTTTATAGGCAAGTATATTATGAGTAAACAAACACTAGGTAGGGGGATACTTATGGGTGGGATGAGCATCGATAATTAATGTTTTCGAAACATCAATGTTCGATGTCTTTCTATCAATGTTGAAATTATATTAATCAAGTATATAAAGAAAAAGCTTTAAGCGATATTTCTATGTTCATTTCTCCAAGCAAACTGTTGGTTGAGACTCACAGAGCTAAACACATTTTTGGAGGAATCTAAAAAAAAAGGTTTTCCTATTTATTTTGAAATTTGGATGAGTTAGGATCACAGACTTCTGATTAAAAATTCGGCATATCTACAAGCATTTAAAGTGTTCAGGCCGATTTCCATCAAAGTGTTCAATGTATTTTAGAAAATGCCAATGATAAAGACACTCACAAAAAAGCAAATAAACAAATAACAGTGAAAAATATATACATATTTCCAAAAAAAGTATCAGACTATTAATTAAACATAAAAACAAAGTAAAGTAATAATTGAAATAACACGGCCCCTGTTCCAATTTAGAAAATAATTTACAGGTGGCTTTTAAACTCAAATTTATACAGTAGCAAAAGTTTTTTTTTACATTAATATGAAAAAATGTATTTAATTTCTTTATATGAAGTATTAAGACGGCAAATAACATTGAAGATAATTTAATCAACCAAAGATTGTAATGATGAAAAATGTAAGTGTGATATGAATGTGTTTATTTGTTCCAGATATTAGAATAAATAATTTAGAATTCCGAGGAAATTATTTGTGTTCTTTATGATCCATTCAATGTAGGGAAGACTATCCAATGTGAAATTCTACTTGACATCTATGAGCAACCAAAGGAGGGGACACATAAGCTTCAGTTCCTTCCGAAATCTTTAAGATATTGCCAAAAACAAACTTTTGTGAATAATGAGTATTGTGTATTGGTGCAGAAAATTATATAATGAATTAGTTATGAATGCATTTTTAAATGTGTGGTAAACTAACTTCACAGATATTATTGTATTTCAATTTAACTATTTTCGGTAATTATAAAGTCAATAAATTATGTTCATCTCAAGTTTGATGGAAAATAAGGTAATTTATACAAAAAAAGAGAGATATAAAGGAATCTCCCTAAATATTCTTTGCAACAGGACAATTTACTAAAATAACTTGGTGGTAGGCTGGGAAAGGTTTGCTAATTCCTTAAGGTATTTGCCATAAAAATAGGTATTGTTATTTTACGCTCATCTAAAATTGTATTTTGGAATTGGAATATTTTGAAGACAAAATACATCAAACCACCATAAACCAGGATAAAACGTTGATTTCAAATTTCAGTTGACAAAAGGGGAATTTTTTATTAAAAAACTATTTTATCAGCTTGACAAAATATTATTGTATATAGAAGTGCAGTAAAAATATAAATAAATAACCCCCCCCCCCATCTAATTGACAATCCTGGCTATTGATAATTGAGAACCTATAAAATGTATATTAATTTCTAAAGATATTGTTTTGTAAACTAAAATTGCTTTTGGCCATAGTGCAGACCTATTTTGGATGTTCAAAAGTGTAACATGAAAAAAATTCGCCTGTCCAGTACGAATTGGCAAGCTCATGCAAGTTTGCACGTCCCTCTCTCCCTCTCACTCCCTCTCTCTCTCTCAGCAACAGCCACTCTCCCTCCCCTCTCCTTCGCCGGGTTTTCTCTTTTACCTTGCTCTGATTGCCGAGGTAACGCCATGGACAAAACAATCATTTGTCCTTACGGCGATGGAAATTATCGATTTTAAAAACAGTAGCAAACTGCAATTACTTTAAACAACATCACAAAATTAGAAAAGTTTCGTAAATTATCAGGCCTGTATCTTTTTTATGTTGAATTTCTTATTAAATTATATTACCAATCATGTAAATAATTGTACAGTAGTGTTTAAAACACTTATTTCACTAAGTTGCAGACTTGTTTAAGTATTTATAGAAAATTTTCTCTTGTCTGAACTTGTTGGATGTTCACAAAAAATTAATGCAATTTATGTGAGCGACGAAGTAAAAATAACGTGATTACTTTGAAGAAATAATTAGCAACCAATCTAACAACGAGACCAGGCTTTGGGCTGTTCCCTTAGAAAAGACGTCCACACATTTCAATGCCGGTATAAACACAAAACCACAAAATCATCTATAGGGTAATTATGAAAAATCCAGAGGACATAATATAGTTAAGTTCCGATACGTCCTTGGATTCGTAAAACTGTGATAATTCTGTTTGCGCGGTTTGTTGTCTAAATATTGTTTATATAATTTTTGTATCATAACGTATAGAGCCAACTTAAATTGGAAACAAAAATATTACGTAATTTCTCATATTATCGATGTTTATATTTTTATTAGAAAGTAAATCTTCCAAAAGTCTGGATTGAACCGGAAGAAATACTTTATATTGATTGGTGAAAACATTAATCTATAATATTATATAAGTCTCGAAATCTGAGAGGTGAGATACCTCTTTCAAGATAATAAATAAATAGATATTTTTTCTTGACGTTTAGAAGTTATACTTGTTAAATATATTGGGGTAAATTCGAGAAATTATAAACACAAACTACGTAGAAAAGGATTTTGGTGGCTCCTATTTAAAGATAACCAGAGATCATATTCACGTCTAAGATTATTAATCGTAGTAATGTCATTGTTTTTCATTCAATTTACAAATGCATACACTTACAAAGAATGGTTATTGATTATACGCAATTATTACGAATTATAGTTTTCACTTTGAAATTTACCGTGTCAACTCCCGTTGAAATACAATTTATTATTCTATTCACATTTTTTGTTCGTTTTTACATTATACATGACCAGTTTAATTGAAAAGAAAAACTTTTTCACGTCGGTAAAACTTGATATAGAGATATTGATGTTT